TGGCAGTTAATTTCAAACACGGATTTGCTGTAGTTTGGTCGCGCTACCATAGACATCAATGTTTATATCTGAATTATACATTTTCATCCAGTATTTTTGTCATATGAATGACTGTACAACAGAAATAATATGGTGTAGTTGAAAAGACTGTTTGTGAAGCTGTTTCTTAACCAAACATGGTAACTGCTCTCTGTGTGTCAGCGGCAGTGCGAACACCGATTTTAATGATCCGGTAAGACCTTGTCAAAGGTTTTTATAGACACAGGAGAATCGTTGTCATTTAGAAATGAGATTGTGTGGTTGTCTGAATCGAGATCGCGATCTTAATCGTTATTAATCTTGCAGCTCTATCGCCCTACTCACGGGCTGTTTTCTCTGCTGCACACACATCCTTGTGTAAGTGTTCTTTAGCCTGTTGATTTTCATTCATTCAGCTAACAAGGACATATTTTGCAATAAGAGTTAGAATAAATGTGAATGATATTGATATATGATTTTTTTATTATTATTTTTTTTTTACCTTATTGGAATCTAAATTAGGAATGGACAAGAATCGGAATCATAAAAATTCAAACGATGCCCAACCTTACCCATACCTCAAATAATTTTTTACTGGCACCTTTCTATTCACCGTTTTAAACCCTTTATTTTCTTTTAAACCCTCACTTACCCTTCTTTGCTTTTGCCCTTCTTAAAAACAAACACAATCTTTTACATTAATGTATTTTCCAAAATTAGTTATAAAACCGTTTCTCCTGGCAACAGGGAAAGGTAGTATGTTTGCTTAACATAGCGTCAAACATGACAATTTATGAGACCAATATCATGTCTTAGGGCTGTCGCGATTCGTCGATTTTATTAGACTATTTGATTTTTAAAAATTGTCGACTAACCGGCAAAATACCGGAAGTGGCGCATTTCACAGACGAGAATGTATAAAACACATTATTAGTCTGTTTTCCAAGGCTGCATGATATATATACATAAATAATTTTTTAAGAAATACTGTCCATTTACATTTTTCTCCTAAATAAATTCTGGTAAATACTCCTTTAGAAAGTGTTTTTTTCTAGAACATGTGGATATGTTGTCATTCTCGCACTATAATACTGAACTTTGATTTCAGTGATTTGGACTATGTGATGGACACTTGCTGCTTGCACTTTACTTTTTTACTTTTGGATTTTATTTGGTTTAATGAAATATAGTTTAATAAAATATTCTTAAGTAAAATTGTTGATTTTTTAACAAACAATAGGGTAAAATTGACAACCTATTTCCATGTCTTCAACCTTTTTTTGATGTATGGAAATCACACTTTCTCTCTCCCGTTCTCTCTCACACATGCACACACACAGACACGTACTCGCGGAGACGCGGACAGAAACTTGTCATCAGCGCTGCGGCTGTCCCGCGAATTTATCAATAAAAGAGATTTGCAGCTGAAAAGCTACAAGACATTTCTCAGTAGCGAGGTTCTTGAAGAAGTTCAAAGATTCGCTATTAGTTGTATTAAGACTTGTATTAACAAATTTAGTCCATTTCGAAACTTTGCCGTGTGAAAGCGAACCGCACCAAGAATAAAAAGCAACATTGTAATAATTTGAATCCCTGTTTCGGAACAAAGCAATCGATCTGCAGGTGTGAAAGCACCCTTAATCTTTCGCTCTTTCTCTCTAATAACTGCGTTAGACTGCATTAATACCTGTTAGCCTGCATATCAATTGCTCAAGCCTCTTGTTATTAGCTCCAAAATGACGTTTTGGAATTTGCAATGGAAGGTTTTACTTTTGGATTTCATTTGGTTTAATGAAATATAGTTTAATAAAATATTCTTAAGTAAAATTGTTGATTTTTTTTTTTGTGGGAAATTAATCGTTTAGATTAATCGATGAATCAATAAATTAGTTGATCGATCAATCGAAATAAAAATAGTCGTTAGTGGCAGCCCTAATCATGTGTTTCTCCAAAATCACTATATAACAAATTTAGTCCATTTCGAAACTTTGCCGTGTGAAAGCGAACCGCACCAAGAATAAAAAGCAACATTGTAATAATTTGAATCCCTGTTTCGGAACAAAGCAATCGATCTGCAGGTGTGAAAGCACCCTTAATCTTTCGCTCTTTCTCTCTAATAACTGCGTTAGACTGCATTAATACCTGTTAGCCTGCATATCAATTGCTCAAGCCTCTTGTTATTAGCTCCAAAATGACGTTTTGGAATTTGCAATGGAAGGTTTGGGATGAGGTGCATAAAAAAATAGCTAGTTCAACACCCATGAGATTTCAGGACGGAAACATGTCAAATGTCTTGAAACAAATCATCTGAACAATTGATGTGTGATTGTGACTCCAGGCCGTTAAAATTATTAGAGAAATAATGCACTCCCGAAGTGGTTATGTGGCCACGTCGCCTCGCCTATTAATGGAATGAAATGCAATTTGTTTGAATTCTCAAACAAATTAAGAACCTACATTCAATTTTTATTGACTGAAGGCAAGCACTTATTGCGATAGAAAACACTGTAATGGTTTCCAATGATTTAAGAAATATTTTAGTTTGCTTGGGTGGTAATATTAGGCCTATTATATTAATAGGGAAGGGGGGCCCAAAAATTAGTTTTGCCCACGTCACGAAAAGAGGTAAATCTGGCCCTGTGCGTGTAGGTTAAGTACATGCGTCACACAGCGGCTCCGTTCACAGTTATTATTTACATGTGTGGAGCGTCTCAAACTCCATCTCTGCATGTTGTTGTGAGTTTGGGTTTATTATAACGTTCATCTGGGAACGCAACATGCGCCATTTCATCAGATTTGTAAGGTAAATCATTTATAAATCTATGCGAACACAGGAGAATGCATCGCGGTTTCGAAATAAAAGCTCAAACCCTCACTCTTGAGTTTACACGTTTTGATGTCCACATATTCATTTAATTACAGTGGCTATAGCATTTCTGTCCTAAGGAAATTGCCAAGTATTAAAGATTAAGTGGACATTTCAATGAAATGGTGCTTGGTCCATGTTGAACAAGTATTAGTTCACACAGTAATGTGTAAAAACAATTGTCAGGCCGTTGGTGCCCTCTGCAGGCCTTTGTTGTAATGCATAATGTACATTAGCTCCTGTTCAAATGCGGAGTTTTGCACAGCGTGTGTGCGTGAGAGAGAGAGAGAGAGAGAGAGACAGAGACGGGGTCACATCACAGTGGAGTCGGCTGTCTTAACGGTGGCTTGTGTACTGCAAACACATACCAGCTTCATCACTGTGTCTGTCACGTAACTCTGTTCCCCTTTCGGGCTCTGTCTTTACATTTACGTATTTTGAAAGATGAAGCTCGCGGTAAAAACAATTGTCAGGCCGTTGGTGCCCTCTGCAGGCCTTTGTTGTAATGCATAATGTACATTAGCTCTATTGTTTATAATACATTGTATTTTAACAATTTTGTTAAATAAAACCATATGATTTCTTGCTTTTTGATTCTTTATTTTAACTAATTATTATTGCCTCATTGCTATTATATATGTATTTTAAGTAATGCTATTGACTGTTCAAATGCGGAGTTTTGCACAGCGTGTGTGCGTGAGAGAGAGAGAGAGAGAGAGAGAGAGAGACGGGGTCACATCACAGTGGAGTCGGCTGTCTTAACGGTGGCTTGTGTACTGCAAACACATACCAGCTTCATCACTGTGTCTGTCACGTAACTCTGTTCCCCTTTCGGGCTCTGTCTTTACATTTACGTATTTTGAAAGATGAAGCTCGCGATTAACCACTGATTTCTAGTCGTGTCCTCTTTTGGAAGGCCAAACAAAGTAGTTTCACTTTCACAGCGAAACACAGCGTCACATGCGGCAGCCTAGAGTGAGCAGAGACCGGCGGCTAGAGTGAGGAACGGCCGGCGGGCTGAGTGAGAGGAGGCCGGTGAGCTTAAGAACGGCGCAGCCAGTGGATTCGACGAAGGAGCGGCTGGCGGGCTTGCAGCAACCACATGTGACGACCCCGCGCTGGACTCTGCTTCGTCCACAGTGAAAGCCGATCCGGCGAGCCACCGCGCGAAGTTGATGCATTTCCTCAGCGACTAGCACGGATCAGCTCTAGGCATGACGAAGCGGATATCGTCCTATTTTGGAAGGCCAAACAAAGTAGTTTCACTTTTACAATGAAACATAGTGTCTCCACGGCATGGCAGCGGTGGCAACAATACTACAGCGAGAATAAAAGTTACGTCGCCTTTCTTTGCGTGAACATTTGGGGGGCATTATGCAAATCTTCCCACATCGTGACTTAGACATGTGGGGGCATGTTAGAACGAGTTGTTTTAGGTAGGCGTGGTTGACTAAACTTTTGTAAAGATTATCTCTTTGGATTTGAGACTTCAGTCTTTGCAACTTTACAGATCTTATTTTTGCACCAAGAGCTTGTAACACTTCAAAGAGAAAGGAAACATTTAAATCGCATCATATGACCCCTTTAATTAGGTAGCCAGTGCAGAGACTGTAAAATTGGGGTAATATGATCATATTTTCTTGACCTGGCAAGGACTCTAGCTGCTGCATTTTGGACTACCTGTAGCTTGTTTATTGAAGATGCAGGACAACAACCTAGCAGTGCATTACAATAGTCCAGTCTAGAGGGCATGAATGCATGAACTAGCTTTTCTGTATCAGGAACAGGTAACATGTTTCGTAACTTGGCAATGTTTCTAAGATGGAAGAATGCTGTTTTTGTAACATGGGAAATATGATTTTCAAAAGACAAGTTATCATGCGTTGGTGTGGACACTAATATGATTATCGTTAGAGTTATCTTTAGTACTCCTTCTTGGTGTCAACAGGTGTTTAGTGGACCTTATGTCTAAAGTTGTAACTTACACTCAGCTGGTACAACTGGCTCTAGCCTCCTCCAAATGCTGTTTTCATTGACGTTGTTCTCTTCCTGACGTATTAAAATGGGAAAACTTGTTGAATGTAATGTTTACTTTTGAATCCATCTTTCTCCTTAGGCATCGCAACTGAAAGATCAAGGTAACAAGGCGTTGAGCGCAGGAAATGTTGATGAGGCGGTTAGGTGTTACACTGAGGCTCTGACATTAGACCCTTCCAATCATGTCCTCTTCAGCAACCGGTCTGCCGCCTATGCCAAGAAGGGCGATTATGACAATGCCCTGAAAGATGCCTGCCAAACCATAAAGATTAAGCCGAACTGGGGCAAGGTGAGTTGTTATTGCTGTTAGTGTCACTTAGGGTGGGAGATCCTCCCAAAATATTATATCATGATCTTATCTCACAATTACGATTCTCAATCTGAATCGCGATCTTCCCAATTTTGAGATGTACTATTGAGAATATCCAGACTGGAACAAGCCTATGCCTTATCTATTTGAAGAGTTTAAAACACAGCATTGCATTAAACAACAGTGTCCTTTGCAGTTAATGTGCTTTTAATAACTTTTTAAAATAAAGCATTTTCCCACAGTAGACTGCAGTTTGCAACAGTCACATTACATGATTGGACTGATTTGGACATTAAGTTTAGAAGAGGGGAAAGCACACCAATTTAAGGACATAAAAGATTGTAGATCGTAGACGTCTTCAAGATTGATCACAATATAAAATTGTCAGATCGCCCACCCCTAGTGTCGCTCTTTCCCTGATCTCCTTCTGTTGCCATTTCTACTTTAGTTTTAATCTTCAATTTTCATCTTTTATTAAGGGCTACTCAAGAAAAGCAGCTGCTTTGGAGTTTCTTGGGCAACTAGAGGATGCCAAAGCGACCTATCAGGAGGGGATACGCCAAGAGCCGTCCAATCAGCAACTCAAGGAGGGACTTCAGAACATTGACGCACGCTTAGCAGGTGAGGAATGTCTCCTCCTTTTAACCATGATTTTGGAAGAATTTCCACAAAGCAAAACATTTGATACGAAACCAATGGATTTATTCACATCAAGAGTAGAGTGTAATGTTGTATACACTAGTGCTATGTTCAAAATATTGATACAACCATGTATCGTCACAGAGATTTGAGGATACGAGTATCGATACAGCTGGCCCTGTATCGATATTGTGGCACGTGTGCAGCAGTGGACCATGCTTAATTTGTTTAAAAGTTTACAATATTTAAAACTGAGTAGAAAAGTGCGAGGTTTCTAAAAAAGAATGAGTAGAGCATATATATAGGCTACAACGAGGTTTAATCTGGGTGCAGAGGAACACAACTGGGTTGCCTGATATTAAGAGACGTAATCCCCAAAACAGAGTTTCCCACTTGCGCAATACGGAAATATCTGCTAAATGTGCTACTTATCTCAACGTATCTTATGTCAACCACACGCGCTCTATCACCACTGTGGATAAACGCGCTTGCTTTCTGAAAACAGTGGTTAGCTTACAGTTTAGCAATCTCCACTTCAATATTCTATTCTCAGAACAGTGTAATTCATCAAGTGTTCATTTATGACACCGAGAGAGAGAGGCTGTGTATGAATTACCACCGTTTTGCCACGTTTCTCTATTAACAGTAAAGCTGTGGCTTTAATACCTTTAGAAACAATTATGCTACCAGCTCTTAGTAGTGTATCTTATTGTGGCCGCTGTATCGTGACTTTGCTGGTGATACACAGCCCTAGTTACAAAATGGATTTTGGATTTTTGTCTTGTTCAAGGCAAAATATTCACACTCGGTGTGAAGCCTAAGAGCACATATCAGTTTGAAATTAATGTACTTTAAGCCTCTTTGGGTGAAAAATACCTAGTAGTTTTCCTGGTTGCTTGTATCTAGTGGCTATTTTTGTTATGATATGAATTTTTAATATACTGCCATTCCGGTGTATGTCGCTTAACATTTGGAACGCGACGTGGCACGATGGAGTCCCTTTTCACTGTGCTGAGGGCACAGCTGTATTACTAAGCGGGACGGTGAAGATGGACACACCTCTACAATGCGAGTAAATATGCAACTAAATCTTCACTTTGGGCAACTAAATGATGTCTAATATTAGCCTTGGTTGGAGTTGGAGGCTTAGTATAAGTTTATCACGGACATATGTTCACTCACTGAACACACTGACAGAGCGCTTCTGAGTCTCATTCTCTGTCAAGCGATCTGTGCTATTTTTCAGTTCATCTCAATGGATGCGCAGCGCACCTGTATTTGACGTACTGTAAACTCTAGTGTAACAGCGCACACCTCACAGTGAAAGAGACAGCGAGAGAGTCTTACATAACATTGCAGAATTGACACGCTACATGTAAACGATATTCTTTGTTGTATTTTCCTGTCAAAATAACGGAGTTCCTTTTGGAATTCTTCAGCTTTTAAGAATTGCCGGGTTGTCTGGTAGTGGGCGGAACAAATGCGCAATCGGCAGTCTCATTGGCTGGCGCTGACTTATTATCGTCCCTGTTTTGATTTCAGCAAATCAGTTGGAGCGAACACCGACAACGTGATTAATATTCATGATTCCAGCAGGTCATTAATGCTTAGTAGGCATGGGCTGATTAGCGGTTTCAAGGTATACCGCGATTTGAAAATGTCACGGTTTCAAAATCTCTAATATATTCTGTTATACCGTTCCTGCGGTATGTGCTGTTTTTCATGTCTCCTCAAAGACTGAAAGTGTAGGAATCCCTTCAGGTTGAGTGCAGTGTAGAGAGTAACACACCCCTCCCCCTCCTGTTGGTGCAAGCAAGCGGTCGGTCACGTGCAGAGCATGTGAGCGAAGCGGAGCGGTGTGATGCTTCGCTACGTTTTCCGCTCTATGGACGTGCGCTCCGCTCAGTCGCTCTAACCGCACAAGCAAGCGCTCCATTAATATTCCGCTCACCGTGAATCAGATCCCGCTCCGACATAAAATTTCTCTAGTAGGCCTAATTGTTTACTGTTTGTAACGAAATTCTTGGATTATTGCCTAAAATTAAGCATGCCGATAAATAGCAATTATCATGTTTCAGAGCGAAATTCTTACATTCTTCTTAATTTTATTAATTGTAATGTATTAATTAAAATTTATTAAATATATGAATCTAACCTTAGCAAACCTACCTAAAATGCAAAAACTGAAAAAGTGTATTTGATTTTCATTAACTTTATTTCTGTGAAAATATCTGCAGTTGTTGTGCAATAGAACGTTCAAAACAGGCTCATTAAAACACAAACACACACACACACGAGATGAAATGTGTGTAGATCTTTACAAAATACACCTGGATTATAAAGCCTGTGAAAAGCACACGCAAGATAAAATGCACTTAAAGAACGCTTGGTTTATGAACTGACATCAATGAAAGAAACACACTTTCTAGTGTCAAGTTAAAATAGACGATAACTGCGGGGAACTGTGGTCTATTAAAACGTCTCTTGATGTTTACTGGATTTTAGAATTTACTTTAAGAAACATTAGCTTGGACAAAGTGTCAGGCTTCAGCATTCGCTGTGCCCGAAAACACTCGCTCAGCGCTGGAAGAAGCACTGGGGATGCTGGAGATTTTGCGGGAGGGATCCAGTACTGGTTTTCCAAAATCCAAGTGGTGTAGGCTAATATCTTCTGTACTCTGTAGTTCTGTATTTAGGCCTATATACAGCTGTGTGTTAGCTTAGGTCTACAGTTTAACTGAGATTATTTAATAACTACGGAGCTCCGAATATAATTCGAATTAACAATTCGTTTCTACGACGTCAGCAGGTATTATTCTTTTTTAAATTAATGTATTATTATTTATTAATTTTAAGTAATAATGATTTTAATAAGTAATTACGAAATATAATAATTTGTTCCACGATTTAGGCCTACTAAAACTAGGGAACGAACGAATTAACAAACGGTTAATTCTGGGTTGAGCGAGCGGAGCGGAATCTTCAGAAAGGCGCTCTGCGCTCTTAAGGAAATATTACCACTCCGCTCCGCTCACATGCTCTGTTCACGTGTGTGTATGACGGCCGAAGGAGCTTCCTCTGGAATTTACGCGATCGGCAACCGGCTGTTTATTGTTTTATTGCAGCCGATCTCTGTTCTGGACTTGCACAAACTGCGCTGCAATGCATATAATTTTTCAAATGTCATTTGTGAAAATAAGAAGTCTGTAAACGCCCGTTAACGGAGACCAGAGACGCTGAAGACGCACAGAAAAATACTGTAGCAGGCAGATCACTCACTGTTCATGATGCACAAACTATTGGAAGAAAATCCTAAATATTGATTTGGGGGTTTATATGAACGTGTTTCTGAGGGGAACTGACAGTCTTCAGAAACGTTTAGATGGTATTTTCTTTTCATCTCGTATAATTCACATTAAAGCAGTGTTTCAGCGTAGCTCTGCTTTGTTTACTGCGATAATCAAGGAAATGCTTTATCAGCGCCTCCTGCTGTCAGAGAGTGAATCTGCGTCCCATTCAGAGCTTCTGCTGTTTGTTTCTTTCAGGCATGTAGTATAATTTCACAAAGCTGGTCAGAACATTCAGTTTTTGCTTCAAATTGGATTATTAAATCAAATTATATATATGAAATTATATAAATAAATTATATGTATATGAATTATATAACTAAAATTAAATAACTGTTTAAAAAAAATATGCCCGTCTTTATTTTTCTTCTTTTTAGGGCAGCAGTAGCTCTAGCAGCAAATCAACCATCCACATCAAAAGCTGCAAGACAGCCCACATTTCAGAAACAAATCAAAGAAAAAATAAACGCATACTACTGTTCCAAATATTCTGTATGTTGCTCAAAATATATTGTTCAGTTGTTTTTTTTGTTTAGTTTTTTACCCAGACATTTCAAATTAACAAATTTTAGAGCTGTAACAACAATATCGTGAAACCGTGATATTTTTGCTTAAGGTTATCATACCGTCAAAATCTCATACCGGCCAATGCCTAATGCTTAGTGCATTTAATATTGTTATTAGTAGTAGAATTCGTAGTAGTATTGTTATCTTATCAGTATTATTATGTTTAGTTTTAGTTTTTCCTTTTTTTTTTATAGAAGCAATAAATGACAAACAATATCTTAAGCACCAGCACCAGTCCTAAAATCAGTTAAAATGAGAATTTTTGAAGTCAATCTACTGCAGTATTTCCTCTCTCAATCAGTAGAAAATGTGGTTAACACCATGCATGAAAAAAATAAATACCGTCATATACTGTGAAACCAAGACAATTTTGAAAAATACTGTTATATACATTTTTGTTCATACCACCCAGCATTTCTTGTACCTTTTTCTTAAAATTAAAAGATTATTTGTAGTGTCAGTGGAGGAACATGGTGAGAAACTGAAAGATTTAATGTGATAACTGATGATTTCATGTTCTTTTCAGAGCGAAAGATGATGAACCCATTTTCCATTCCCAACTTGTATGAAAAGCTGGAGGGTGACCATCGAACCAGAGCGCTCCTGTCTGACCCCAGCTACAGGGAGCTGCTGGAGCAGCTCAGGAACAAGCCCTCAGAGCTTGGCACGTATGTGTTCTGTATGCCTTCTGCCTTTCGGTTTCTATTTGTGTCTTTCTTTGCATAATGTACAGTCGGCTTGTCATTATCACATAATAATCCGTGACACTACGCAATGGTCTCTTGTATAGTGGTTTGCTGATATTTGGCATTTCTTAGTGGTGTCAACCAATAACTATCTGACTTTTTTGGCAGCACTGAGAATGCAGTGCCCGAGCACAGATGCACAGAAGCTTCTATTTTCTTCAGAAGTTTACAGTCTTTGTTAAATCCCTCTTTAAAAAAAAAAAAAAAAAAAACTATAATATGTAGGGATGGACCAATACCACTTTTTCAGAAGAAGCTCAATACCGATACTTATTATTTTTGGTACTTGCCTATACAGAGTACACCAGTACCTGTATTTTCATGCCAATTTAAAAAAAAAAAATTAAATACAGGGTACAGAAACTAAAAGATTATGAATAATGTTAGTTAGCTGGTTACTTTCACTGTTCATTTTCTCTGTCGTATTTCATCTTTAATTTTAAAAGTACATCAGAGCTGCTCCATTGTAGCGGCTCAGCACTGTAATCACAAGACAATTTCTTTTAACAATGCAGGAAGGTTATACATAAATCTAATTAGGGGTGGGCGATATAGCCTCAATTATATCACGATATTTCAAGAATATTTGTGATAACGATATTTATGACGATATAGGGGAATAAAAACATGGACCGTTTTATTGATTACAGCTGGCAGGCAGCAGCATTTGTTAGTGCAAACAAAATGAAGGGCATTTTCCTTTTCCAATGAGCTACTGTCATGGCAGACTACCTCATTTGAAGTGTAAATCTATTGTCATAAGGTGGCAGCAGCAGCTGTGTGTTCGACTTGAAGCAGATCAATCGGTGTATGACATCAAAATACCGCGAGAGTGACTTACCCCTTATTTACACTGCACGCGTCTGTGGCGCGTTACGGCTTCGACGCGGCCACTCTAGTCAATGCTTGTGTTTACACCAGTGGAGCCGTGGCACATTTCAGAATTTTCTCTTTGCGCTGCTTCGCTAAAGATATGCGCCTCGGCTATTTTTGAAGGTAAGAGTGTGCACTCGAATATGCTCTGGAACCGCTCTCTTTGTCATACCGACTTTGATGTCATACACCGATCAGTCTGCGCAGCGCTGCTTCAAGTCGAACACACCTAATGGGTTTGTGGTGGTGGTATTGTTGTTGTGCGTGCTAGGGAACGTATATCCACCATATGTCATCGCATCATTTATATCGCGATATGACACTTTTTTTTTAATCATGTAAAAATTTATACCAATATTATCGTGGACTGTATGATGTGGCACACCCCTAAATTTAATAACAGCGATTAACATATTTTCTGAAATATAAGTCATGTTGTTTATCATCTGAAATGTGATGTGACTTCCAAAGCGACTCATATAATGCAATTAACATAAAGCAAGCAAAACATGCGCAACACGCATGCACATTTGTATTGGTGCAGAATGAGAAAGACGCATAAGCCTAGCGCATTTCACATAGGCTGCTAGTTTCACTTTCGCGTTAAAGAAAGTTGTGTATGCTTGCCGTTTAAAATAAATGTTGTTTATATTGAATGCCCCTATATTTTTTGTTTTTTATATTTATGATTTAGGTTTAATCCAAATGATGTATATGCTAAGTGATTCATTCATCAGAAATGCGCATGCTCTCTCTATCTCTCGCTCGCTCTCCCCCTCTGTCTCCTTACCGTCAAGTAACTTAAGTAATTTGTGCATTGTTTTCCTTGCTTTTGACATATCCAACCAAACTATAAACCTTCCAGTGATGTCTGTGAGAAAGGGATGTTTGCTCGACAAGCTTGCGCATCTTTGCCGCCACACGCTCAAACCACTCAGCATGCTTTGCTTTTCAGCTCATGCACATCAGCTATACAGGCGTGAATATTGAATGTTTAACATTATATTAATTACATGTACTTCATAGTAGGGCTGGGACAATAAATTGATGCATCACGAATCGAGAAATGATTCTGCATAGATTTTGAGATTTTCCAAAGGCATCGCAATTCTCTCTTGAATCGATTCTGAGCTTAGTTTTTAACAGCAGATGGCACTGCGTGCTTTAGAAATAGACGAATTCTGCTTGCTTCCAGTTCCTTTCACACGCACCATTTGAACCTAAAATAATCCAAGTTTGAAGCGAATTACAAGGTTGTTCACAGTGGGCTGTGTTTACATTGATCTTGCATCATAAAAGCTGATGTGCAAGTACATTTAACCAACTTATGGTGCTCTTCCACTGCATGGTACGGCTCGGTACTGTTCACTTTTGGGGGGTTTTCCACTGGGTACAGTACCTGGTACTTTTTTTAGTACCACCTCGGTTGGGGTTCCAAGTGAACCGTACCATTACTGTAAGGTCCACGTAAGACCATTGTACCACTTGCCCTGAAACTATTCAAATGAAACCAAACATGACTGTAAATCTTATTTGCATTCATTTAGAACATTATATTCTTGACCAGTTTGAGTGAATCCAGTGGAGGGAGGAGATGAAAGGCACAGATGCATGTGTGAGAGAGACGTTTCCCGCACCACCCCTCTGTGGGGTGTCCTGAAGATGCCAGTGCATTGTTTGTTTCTCAGGAGATCAAAGTATTTTAGTTTCTTTTATCCTTACAATTACCAAAACGTGACGTGATCCTGCTGATCACGGATTGGCCGGAGAGAATCGTCTCTACCTGCGTCACTGAACTTTCGACACCAACACAAAAGAACCGCTAGATTTAAATCAGCAAGGCCAGCGAAGCATTGAACGCAACTGGTTTTGAACGAGCGCACCTTTTTTTTAACAACCAAAAAGTTGTGTTGTCTGTTGCGGAAGAACAGACGTTCCTCTCGTTGATAGCAGAGGAGCGATCCAGCGAGAGCTTGATGGGGCGACGCAGAATGAAAAAGGTTTTTTTTTTTAGGAGTCGTGGTAGTAGAGGCGGCGCAACTATAACGACATGTGAATAATCCCGCCCACTCTAAAGCGGTACTGAACTGCAGTGGAAACGCAAACCGTGCCGAGTAGTACCGTGCCGTGCGGAGCCGAGTCGTACCACGCAGTGGAAAAGTGCCATTCCATTACTCTTCTTTGTGAGCATTTGAGTGCGCGATCAAAAACTAGCCTAGTAGAGCGCCATCTGCTGTTAAAAACTAAACTCAGAATCGATTCGAGAGAGAATCATGATGCATTCCGATAATCTCAGAATTGATCCGCAAAATGAGATGCATCGATTTATTGTCTCAGCCCTACTTCATCGATATCCTGAATCTCTAATAACTCTATTCTGCTCTGTTCTGTTGTCAGTGTTTTATTTGTCTGGATGCAGCATTGTTCACACACTGTGTGGTATTGGCTTTTGGTATCAGGGCATTTTAATGAGTACAAATAGGAGAACAGGAGCCCAGTATTTTACAGGCTTATATTTTTTATATATTTTAATGTCAATTTATTTTTTATATAATTTATCTAATTTAGTAAACATTTACTAGTCATTTACTATCTTTAAATAGTGTCATATCATATTTATCAGTTTTATATCGGCCACCTTCCTAAAATATCAGCATCAGCAATGAAAAAAATCTGCATTTGTTAACCACTGCTCTTATGTCACACTAAACTTTTATAATGACAGTCTGACTGTACAGTAGAGCCCTACAGTACCCCTACAGCCC